ATGAATGAATTAACCATCGTTATCTGCCCCAAGTTTAGTTGCTAGATATATACTCCACGAGTTAAAACAAGTATTTTTTAAACGAATGATTTACTAAAAAATATTTATTTAATTAACAGATGGAAATTTTTTAAAAAAAGAGAAAAACAATTTTTTAAAATAAAACAATTAGACAAACATAGCAAGAAACAAAAATCTGATTCTTTTATTAAAAATATTAGAAAAGTAAGCATAAATGATCCGACCATTAGTTTTTAACATTTTATATATTTTCATTACATAAGAAAGTAGGGTTATATTAAATCGTTTTAACAAACAAATATGTCCAACAATGCTGTAATGTATCATTTTTTTAGAAAATTAGTTTGAAAATGTGACTTATCCTAAATTTAAAAAAAAAAATGAATTTGGAGTTTATTCAAGCATAAATGACATATAATTATTTAACTCTCATAAATAGCAAAAATTGTAAGTATACTTTAGTCTTTGATTTTTCTAAACTCTTATCTACTTGTTGACTGTGCATATGATTTACTCTTTTTTTCAAGATTTAATGTTATCAAATTAATTTTGATTGAATTAAATTGACTTCATTTTTATTTTTCAACTTCAAAAAATTAATTAATATGCAATATTTATGAAAGTTATTGCAATAACTATGATGATAAAATTAATATAATTATAAAAATAGTAAATATATTTGTAATAATAGTCATAATAATAGTAAAGTCATGACAGATATATTAGAGCTGTCAAAACGGGTCATCCGGCTCAACCCGGTCAGACCCATCACGGATTGGTCACTTAGTGAGACAACACAACCCGGCTCATTTATTAGCGAGTCAGAAAAATTCGAACCCGACTCCAACCACAGATTGGTGAGTGAACGGGTTGACTCACTGGTTAACTTAAATACAATTTTTTAAAATAAAAAAAATTACAAACTTTCTATAATTCAAATCTAAACAAATTTCACTCCCAAATTTCACTTCTAACATGGATGTTTAATTAATTTTGAAAATAAGGAACTTAAATAATTTTTTCAAGCAAAAACAAAATAATAAATATTTTTTGTTAAACCCCTTTAGTTGTCCCTATTTATGTAGGTTTTTCCCAGTTTAATCCCGTCTTTTTAAAATCTCCAATTGAGTCCTAAATAGTGTTAATTTGAATCAATTGGTCTCTGCCGTTAAGTTTTGCTTACCTGAGATGTTTACGTGGCTAGCTTTTTTAAACGTGGCATTCACATAGTTCTGTACGTGGAATTTAAGAATATTTAATAATTTAAAATTAGGGATTTTTAATGTAAAAATGTAATTAAGGTTTGTTGGTGAATTTTAATTAACCCTAAATCCTAATTACATGGGGGCAAATCTATGCCGTTAGCGGTGCCGTCACCATAGTCTTGCCGTCAACCATCTCACCACCACGGCCAACCACCATGCTCATCTCGCCAGACCACCCAAAGCCACCACCTAACCCTAATCCGCGCCACACTATCACATCGACACCATTGTTGTTCATCTTCACAGCCGCCGCAGAGACCACTCAATAGCCGACGAAATCGTGCCTATCTTCCTTCAGCCTTCTTCAAGAACAACAAACCCTAAATCCCTAAATCGGAACAACAAAAAGTGGGAAAAGAAACTTGGAAAAGAAAGAAAAAAGGGAAGGAGAACTAAAATTAAATCAAATTAAATAGGTGAATTGGTGGGCCAACCCGGCCAACCACGGGTTCAACTCGTATTAGACGGGTTTAAATGAGCCGGGTTGAAATTTGACCTGCATAAAAAAAAATACAATTTTTTTCAAACCCAACTTGGCTTAAACCCGTGGTGGGCCGAATTGACCCACGGGTTATGACCCATTTTAACATCTTTAATATATACAATAATGATATCAATGATTATTATGATTAAACATTGACAGTATGAGTGCCAGTGATAAAAAGGTTATTAATAATTAACTACAACTAATTACTATAATAATTATTTACTAATAATGATAATAGCCTATATATTGATAAAGCACAGACGTAACAGAAGGAGCAAAAACTAACAACATTAATGGTCTTAATTCTTACAGATTTCTTTATCTTAGGTAAAAGTTGAGGAAAACAACTTGAAGAGAGTTATATTATTGATGATGTAGAAAACACAATAGTTCGTTCATTGGCAAAATCATCACAAAATATCCTAGCTCTATTGATCCTTTACACACCAAAATGAAAATAAAAAAATCAACTACGAAGTTCAGAAAATTCATTGACGACCTCATATAATAAATGGTCGAAAATTTTATGCTCAAACACCAAGCAAATATCTCTAAAGCTTTCACTCTCACGCATACGTTTTAAGGTATAATCTGACTCTCTTACATCGTGTTCTGTCAAAGTACGAATCTGCAACATCATTTCTGAGAGATACTCTGCTTCTTTGTTGACATCTATGAAGGTATGATCTTTATTAGTACTTGCACTGTCTTCAACATCACCATCCAAGGACAACATTGATGGAGATACCCTCTTTGACTTTGAAGCCGTGGTGCTTGAACCATCTGCAATAAAAACAATATATAGTAAGGTAAAGTAAAATTGCTTTCAAACTACAAGACCATGTGAAAATTGCATTATATAGCCACTTTTTAAGCTTACAGAACTGGTATGTTATGTAGTTTTCAAAACAACACGGTTGCAGAGTGATGCGAACATGTTATATGCTTCTTTTACATACATGACTTAAATGCAGTTATGTTGATGATTTTAATTAGTGTTTTTTCTTTCATTAAGTAAAATTTCAGTTCAGCAATAACAAAAATTACATGAGAAAACATGCACATTAACAATGTAAAACTCTAACTTTGACAGCAAAATAGTACCAAAAACTCGTGTAAGATTACATTGTATGTAAAAATAAGAAATCAATAACATAAACTGTTCAGTCAGACCAAACACGACCCATTGTGTATTTTGGATCCTTTTCTTCACAATGGAACCAGTTAAAAGGCAAAATTCAATGTTATTCCAACAATTACCAAAGTAAAAGTAATGAAAAAATGGGATTGAGTAGAGAAAGCAAACCTAGAAAATCTTTTTCATAAAGGAAAGGATAGTCATTGCTATCTGCAACTGAAACTGGACTGCGATGTTCCAAGCTGCATTCACTTTCAACCTTCAAGAGTAACTTCTGGTTTCTCATGTTCCTCTTGTCTTTTGTTTCCACAAGCTCCTTCTTGTGCTTGTTTGGCAAATAAGTGTTTGACCTTGATCTTGAAGCAGCGCCATTTTGTCTATTACTACAAGAACTACACTTAGAGAAACCTGAGGACACAGAAGACAAATCTTTATTACCTTCAAGATTTCGACCCTTTGAACCATGCTTAGAAGAAGGGTCTCTCCTTGGCTCATTCTTCAGCTTTGAAATTTTCCTGTTCTTACCTACATTTATCTCTTTCTTCACACTAACACTCTCCTTGTTCTTACTCCCCTGCCTCTTCCCCTTCCTCATTTCTCCCAAACCCGTTTCCATTTTCCTCACCTCTTCGTCTTTGTCACCATCCATGCAAAGCACAAAGAGGTTATTACCCTTTTGGTTCTGAAACAAACCAGGAACCTCTCTGAACGATGACGACGTCTTCACTCTTCTGTGAATGGAATGGCTTGCATCAAACTCAAGCAAGTAATCAACAAAGTTCACTGACCTGCTTCTAGGAACGGAATCTGGGCTCCCTCCTTTCACTGCCCATTTGGAGTTTGGAAGTGAATCCAACCCCATTAACCTTGCCACCACTCCAGGAGTTGAACCATCTTTCACCACCACGGTTTCTTTGGTGGAATGTGCTTTTTCTGAATCATCTGATTCTGTGAAATGATCAGAGGGGTGCACTGGAGGACTAGTTGCATTTCCAGCACATAGTAGCACACGTAGTAAGCCAGGGAAACACCCAGATTTCGGTTTTTCTGCCTTAGCCATGGAGGGTGAAGTTTGCACACTGATACAGAAGTATGCAGAAAAAATTCAATGTGAAAAGAGAATGAGCAGTGTAATGGTTGACCACAGTAGAGAAAGAGAGAAAGAGAATGATATAGAATGTTGTTGGAAGAGTTGGAACGTGATTGGGAATAACAAAGGTAACTTCCAAGTCTTTAAAGTCGGCACCAGTACTTCACTATAACAGAAAACGAGTTCAATAATTTACCTTTACATTCCTAAACTAAATTGAACACAACCTCAGATTCAGAGATGCACTTGGTCGGTGCTATTCTTTCATAAAAACAAAATTTTAATTTTACCCTCTTAATTTACTTCAATCTTTACTTCAAATATTTATTGTGTATATTACTGAAATTGTAATTGAAGAATAATAATAGTAGTATCCAATGAATTGTATTTATGTTTTATCTTAGCATAATACTTTAGGTTTTAAATAAAATAAAAAAAAACTATCTGTGATGATTGAAATACAAGTAAATCTTAACTAATTTTACTTTGTTGAATAAATGTTTTCGTTTCATTATTATACTCTTTATTTAGTTCAAATTCTATTTTTAACAAATCATTGATTTGATGGTTTTTTCAAAGACAGATTTATTATAAAATATACAATATCAATCGAACTTAATGCACAACAAATTTTCAACTAAAACATACTAAATTAATAAATTGATGAGTATTCTTCTTTATAAACAGTATAATTTTATTATTTTTAGTCGATGTAAATTCAATTTTCTCATTTTCATACTTAAATTTTCAACATGGCTTTAAAATGCAAAATGTTCAAATTAAAATTTTATCCATAAAATTAGTGCGAAGGGTAGTTTAGAAAATCAATTTTAATTTGTAAATATTGAAAAATAAGTTTTTTTTTTCCTTATGTAAGTTAGTGAAAATATGATTTTAGTGGTAGATCTAGATAGAAACAAGGTTATGCAAAATTTGAAAGCAATTTATGTTTAGAATCGTAGTGTGAATGTGAATAAAAGGTGTGATTTTACAGCTTTAGGGTTAATACTTTACAGATTGGGTAGATTAGAATGGTAGATGATAGAGAAAGGGTGTACGAAAGGGTACATTAAAGACAAATATTGGATGAAAAAGCATTGACTGAGGTCTGAAGAAGGAATTTTGTATTTAGTAATTAGTAATGCAAGATGATGTGGTTGCAGTCCAAGTCTTACTAGGCTGCCAAACCGTGTGAATGTTGTTTTGCCAATTAAAAACAAAGTGTGGCCGAAGTTGCTGACTTTTGAGGTCGGAAATGTCCATGTGGTCCACCACCCAAAGGAAATGAGCAGATCTTGCAACTACTATTTCATCTCAAAGAACTTCACCGACATTGTTGACTAGGTTTTCGGGATTCTCGATTGGCCCAATTCATGCTGGTTCTGTAATGGCAAGCCTCTTTATGATGATGGGCCCAATAAATTGGAACCCTGAAGAATTTTTCAGTTAAAATGTTAATACTTGCTAAACAAGTGACTTCTTTAACATGTTATTAAATGCCTCTTGATTATTTTTGTGTATCCAAAAAATTTAGTATTATATATCATTATGTTATTATTTATTATAATATTATTATTATAATATGTATTATGTAAGTATTATTCTCGTAGGAATAGACTCATGATTGAGGTTGATCTTATTAATATAAATAGTATTCCTTAAAAAAGTACTTATTCTCTCATAAACATTAATATACAGAACTTATAGAAAGATTTTAACTCTCTTACTTATTTGAGGGTCAGAGAGTCTTTTACAATGCGTCTCTCTCCTTTAAACAGCAAGGAAATCATTTCCAAACAAGAACAATCAAACCATTATTAGAATCTTACCACTTATTCACAAGGTCATGTTTGATATTCAAATAAGAACAATTACCGAACTGTCATATTTATTCTAAAGGTTAAATATATTTCGTTCCCAAATTGTTTTAAAAAATTGTATTATATCTTTAAATTAAATTATATAATTAATTTTCCTTTATCTTATGTGAAAATTGATATTTTTCCAACAAAAAACAGAGGGAGTGTTTTGTATATGATAAGCAAAATTTTAATTCTTTTATCAAAAAGATATTTTACATATATTTTATAAAGTGTAACGCCGAAATAAATATATAATTTAGTTTATGGACAAAACACAATATTTTAAAATAATTTAAAGATAAAAAAACATATTTAACCATATATTATTCTAATTATTCATTAATTTAGTTGTTTTAAAATTGTAATTGTTTTACAAAAGTAAGATATAATAGAGTTTAGTCAATCAGGCATATAGAATGCATTAATACGGTGGTGACAACGGAAAATAATGTTAAGATTCATATGGTGGAGTTTATATAT